GTCAGCACTTTTGTTTTATGAGGCTGACCAATCCCTGGCTGAACAGTGAACTTCGGGAGCGGCTTCAGCAGTGAGCTAAAAGGGTGTCCGAGGGCCATACTCTCAGGGTGTCTCCAGTCTGTCAGGCCAGTAAATCTGGTCTTTTTTTGCTAGTTAGAATTCTGTTTTACATCTCTTTCCAGCTCTGTCCAGAACCCTCTGTTGTTACCCCAGTCAGAGCATTCAGCAGCAGAAGCCAGGCACCATCTAGCTGTACTGGTCTCAGTCCAGTGAAGGCCTTGGTAGCTGTGGTCTATTAGTCCTTCAGACTAATCTTTTCCTTATATCCTGTTCTCTTCACTCTACCTTGCTCCTGAAGGGATGAGACCAGTGTAGTATCTTAGATGGCTGCTCACAGGCTTTTAAGACCCCAGACGCTACTCACCAGGGTAGAATGTAGAACATTGTTTTTATAAACTGTGTTGTGCCAATTGAGCTAGATGTTGCCCGAGACTGTGGTCCCTACAGCCATCCACCCAGCAATTCAGTCCCTCAGGGAGTTTGGAAGTGTCTAGGGAGCTTCCATGACCTTTCCTTGTACAAGCTGTGCTGGCTTCCCCAGTATTGTGTATTGTCTTACCCTTCACCAAAGTTACCACTTATCTATTTAGTTCCCCCCCCCCCTCTTCCCATCCCTCGTAACCAACAAAGATTGTTGCTTTTTGTGTGTAAACTTTTACATGAGTTGTACAGTAGTGGTCTCATACAATATTTGTCCTTTTTTGATTGGCTTATTTGTCCTCCAGTTTTGTTCCTCTTATTCTCCTGTGCTGAGTTCCTTTTGTTAGTGGATTTGTTTTCATTTCTTTTGTTTTTGTAGGTTTTGTTTTTACTGAGACTTTATGTTTTTCTTCTTTATTTTGATGAGTAGGTTTGTTAACTTTCTTTGGGGTTACCGTGAAATTTACCCTTATCTTCCTAGGTTTGAACCAGTCTATTATTATTTGGTATCACTTGACTTCCTCTCCATTAGAAAGTTCTATATCTACACTGTTTATTCCCTCTTTTATTGTTCTGATGCCATTGTACAAATTATGCTGATGCCATTTACAAATTAACTTCTCTGGTTCCTTTTTGTAATTCTTTTGGTTTTGCATAGTCCTTAAGAATTCATTTCCTAGGCTGGTATCTGGCTAGTACAGTACTGTGTCCTATATTCAGCCTGTGGTCTGATATTGTTTGTTCTCAGATTGAAGGACTTCCTTTAACAAGTCTTGTAAGTTTGGTTTGGTTTTTACACAGTCCCTTAATTTGTTTATCTGGAAATGACCTAATTGCACCATCATATATGAACAAGAGTTTTGCAGGATATGTTACTCTTGGCTGGCAATTTTTTTCTTTCAAAGTTTTGTCATCCCATTGCCTTCTTGCCCGCTTGGTTTCTACTGAGTAATCCAAGCTTAGTCTTATTGTTTCTCCTCTGTACGTGACTTTTTGTTTTTCACCAGCTGCTCTCAGGATTCTTTGTTTGTCTTTGGTTTTAGCAACTGTGATTATGATATGCCATGGTGATTTTCTTTTGGGGTCTATCCTATATGGGGTTCGTTGAGCTTCTTGGATGGTCAGCTTTTCATCTTTCATGATATTGGGGAAGTTTTCTGTCAACAATTCTTCAATGATCCTCTCTGTGTCTTCTTTTTTCTCTCCCCATTCTGGAACTCCGATCGTTCTCAGATTTTTGCTTTTGATTGTATCCCACATAATTCTCAGGGTCTCTTAATTTTTCTTTGTTCTTTTTTTCTGATTTTTCCTCAAACAGAGTTGTATCCAAGTGTTTGTCTTCAATTCTGCTGATCCTGTCTTCCACCGTTTCAAATCTGCTCCTCAGCCCTACTATGACACTGTACATTTCTGAAATCTTATTGTTTATCTTTTGGATTTCTAATTGTTGTTTTTGTATAATTTCTAGCTGTGAATATATTTTGGCATTTTGTTTCTGCATTATTTTCTTGAATTCTTCCATTTTTTTGTCTGTATTTTCCATGAATTTGTCTGCCTTTTCCATGAATTTATCTATTTTTTCCTCATTTTTGTCTGCTTTTTGCTTCAACTCTTTGATAATTCTGAGTATTAGAGATTTGAATTCCCTATCAGATAGTTCTAGTGCCTTTTCTTCTACTGGAAAGTCACCTGGTGTTTTATTTCGGAAACCTACTGGAACCATCCTGTCCTGTTTTGGTAAATGTTTTGATATTGTCTGCTGTTTTGGGGGCATTCAGTAGTTACTTTTCTTGTTTATTGATTGTGGATTTGTTTGTTCTGTCCTTTTTTTTTTTTAATTTGGCTATGTCTGAGCAGGCCAGCTGTGTGTTCTTTGTTGTTTGTTCATCTGTGGGCATGATACTTCTCCAACTGGCAGGGTCAGTCACTCAGATATGGTACAGCAGGGCAAGTTTAGCTGAAGAGGAGTTGCTGAGATAGGTTGTTTGTGGCACTTACCACAGCCACCATGGCGGGTTGCTAATCAGTGCAGGGCAGGTTCTGGTAGG